AGATGGTCTACGCAACCAATCTTTAATGCGTTCTTGTACATCTGTTACAGTAGATGCAATTTTTTTTCGTGTAGCACCTATAAAAATGTTAGCGATTAATAAATTTTAAAAAATACACAAGTTTTCAGAATCAAAATACATACTTATGATTATCGATGGAAAATGGAGATCCTTTACAGCAAGAGTTCCATGAAAACCGTACCAAGTTAGTTGACGACACAGTTCATCTGTTATAATGGTAGGCCTAGCCTTAGCCTATTTTATAGAGATAAGAGAAAGAAATAAACTATACAGATAAGCAAATTTTAATTATTTGTATCTATATATCATAAGCTAGCATACACATTACAATAATCAGAAAATTCTCGACGACGATGACGGTATAATTGTATACGCGTGCATATGCGTATGGCTCATGCCAGTGCCCGCAATGGTATCATAATTCGATCTCAATCTTAAATTGATTAAACTTCAATTGACGAAAGAAGAAGAGCAGAGAGCACAAAAATTAATAAAAGATTAAGTATAGATTATTGAAACAAATGACAAAACCTTATTGATAATGCCTCTGACGAAGAGAGCTGGACAAAAAGCGAACGGGATCCGATGTGGCCTGATGCTTGACAGCTGATGCAAGAAAGAAGGTTATGTAATCCTCGTAAAATATATAAGAACCGTGCGCCCCCTATAATACATATATATATATATAAAATATACCGCAACCAATCGCACCGGCTTTATCATAATGATGTCTGAATAAGATAAAAATTTGTATCATTTTTACTTATCGTAAGTTATCGTAATGTTATCATTTTCTACATTAAATATGGTAACTCCAAAATTGTTTTTTCGATAATATTTTGACAACACTTAAAAATGATATCGGTCAAAAAATATAACTCTAAGTTGTCTTTGAAAGTTATCACATAGACGTCTTTTATAAGACAACTATAAGGCATCTTTTCTTTTGATAACGTGGACATAACTTTAAAAATAATTTTTTCGATAACATTTTGACAACACTTAAAAATGATACTAGTAAAAAAGATAACACTAAGTTACCTTCTTAAGTTATCGCGTAGACGTCTATCAAAGACAACTATAAGACATCATTTTTTGATAACTGTTCTTTATATAACTAATTGATATTTTTTAGATAACTATAGATGTTATCAACAAAACAGACAGTGTCGGTTGTCACCTCAATGTTTTGTGAGGCACAGTACGTACATCTCGACTTTCTCTTTTTTTTCTCTCTCTCTTTCTCATACCCGAGGGTTGCCACCATGACCCTAACAGTGCTGCGCGCGCTCACTCGTGTTCTTTCGCCGTTGTTGCTGCTGTGTCCCACGTCGCGTCGTCTTCTTCCCCATTTTCCGGGGAGCCATAACAGAAAACAATTCTGGGAAGGTGAGCCTTTGCCGGTATGACGTCATCCGCGTTGCGTCAGTGAGAGCAGCATGAGCCTGGAGGCCCGATTCGCCTCGTTACAACTGTTACATAACGAGGAAAACCATCACAGCATTTTACACTTAAACTAAAATACACTAAACACTTAAATAACGAGATCAATGACCTAAAATAAAAGAAAAGGGAAGCATTAATAACTGGATCAGCATCAATTTAAAAGGCATTTAATTATGCTACCGCAAAATTTAGTGTAAACAGACGACACTTTTCTACCACCTTAAGGTCCACAACCGAACATGTTAAGGCGCGAACCAATGGATCGCGTTTTATTGTAAGGGGGAAAATTTAGGAATCGATTCCATTTCCAGTATTTCCACTAAAACCACCGCAATATCGCCATCTGGCGAGTACATGTGGGACAAATAAAAAGAATCGGTAATAAAGATTGTTAATACTATGGAAGTATGGGAAGTGAATTTTATATTTCAGGAACAAACCTGACCTGACCTACCGCAAATCTCTAGACTTAATTGATCAAGCTGTTCCATTCTGTTTGAGCTCACCTCCGGAATGCTAACAGATTGGCTTTTGACGCAGGACCTATCCAAACTTGTACCAAATTCTCGGAAAGAGATCTCAAGGTCAAAGCCTACGTGACTTTCTGCATGTCTTTTGGCCTATTAAAGGAGCTGGAAAGGTTCCCTTCAGCCAGTCTACTTCCAACAGTTGCCTATGGCGAGGTGCTCCACATCAATAAAATTGTTCAAGGTGCCCCCCTATAAAATCCCAAGGCTAGTACCTCAGTGTTATTGTGAATTATAAGTGTCAGTTAAGTAAATAATCGTGATCCCTTGCAGAGTTTCACCAGATACCTGGACATCATCTTCAAGAAAAAAATACCTAGATATAATCTTAGAGAATAAACTGCCCGGGACTTACATCTACCGCAAGAAAGTAGTGAGGGAGACCTCGTGCATCAGCACCTAACTAGATAACGGACCGATCGCCCAAGGCCAGCCAAAGGTTGGAGCGCGCCATCTACACCTTCTTGCTCCGTGCCCGAGGCTCAGGTCATAACAAATCATAGTTGGTCGATGTGCTGCAGCTACGAATAGATTTTGCAGGTGATTTATCTCTTTTCAGATGCACGTCGGTCCCTGCTTGAAAGGACTTTTAAGTCAACACTGAAAATTCCAAAGAAACGAGCGGGGAAAAAAATTATTAGTTATTTTAGTTTACCAACGTTACAAGTTTCTTGAACTTTGGGCAGCCCTTATAAGAGGCAGAATACCCGTATTGCGCGCATTGAACACAGTGTATTTTATTCTTTCTAAGCCTATAAGTTACCTGTTGGGTTTTAAAAATAGTTATTATTGATAGCTTCGTGAGTGTTTTCTTTCTTGTATGGCCTACAGTATTCAAGTTTTTTGATGTGGTCACCGTTGCGTGAGAATATTGGCCTGGTTCACTCTTGTTGGCTTCGGTTTGTATTGTATTCTTTGTCTCACTTGTGAGTTGCTTTGTTTTAGCGTCTGCATACAGCTGTAGCGCTGCGAATCTATTTGGCGACACGAATAATCTGTGCACCTGTATGTTCATGATTTGGTCTTCATCAAATTTGGAGCTACTGCCTTTGCTGTTGCCTGAGTAAGTAGGCTCTGCAGTGTACTTAACTTACTCATTTCTGTTGCTTTCGTTTTGATTTGACTGAGTGAGAAGCTTGTTTCCCTATTGGGCTCGTTGGCGGTACCATTGCTATGTGTTATTGCTTGCTGAGGCCCGTGCTATCCTTCTCGTGTCTCGCTTGCCACCAGGCTGTACTAGAGAGCGGGAAACCCGTTCAGCTTTATTGCCAAGTTATTTTTTCATAACGGCAAGATCTTGCAGTGTTTTTTTTTTCTCTCCTCAAAGCATCCTTGTTAGCCATTTTGGGCTAATGTAGGTTGCGTCACGAGGTTTTCGGGGTCCCCTTTTCTTTGAGCATAGTAGGTAAACAAAGGCGGTTCGGGATCAACTGAGCCAAAACCACCAAGCGGTTGTAGCTCACTTCCCCTCTTTGCCCCTGACATGCGGCAACCAGGGCCAAGCAGCCCCGAGCTGTGGAAAGTATTCTGGAGCGGTCCGACCGCTACCCAAATACCCCTGAACTGCTGCTGTTACTTGATGAACTGCCACATACGTGGCTTGAGTTCTACGGAATCTTGTGAAGCGTGTGCAAGTGATAGTTACACACATATACAATTTTATGTATAACTATGCTCGAGTGGTCCGAGTATCTCTGACCAGCTCCGACGATCCGAGAAGCTCTTTCTCTCTTTCCATAGAGTACCCCAACCTGTAGAAAGTATACTCAAGCAAATATGATACATAGAGCCCTCTCAAGAGTAATAATTTGCTATGAGTTCTTACATGATGCAATGTGCATAAGTTATTTGTAACGCTGGCTTGCAAACGCTGGTTGACAAACGTGACAAGGCATCGCAATTGCCATTAGCTTTAGATTTAGCTACTTCAATTGTATATATGAATACCCTGAAAGAAAATATGCCCATCTTTGCAGCCTGCTATGTAACATTGTCGATATATTTTTATTGCCAAAAATGAACTTCAGGGGCTCGTGATCTAATTTTAAAATAATGTGATTACCGTATATAAATTGATAAAATTTCTTGAAGCCAAAAATTATTGCATCTGCTTCTTTATCAATGATGGCCCTATGTAATTCATTTTGGGTATAATTTTTGACGCAAACGCAATTGGACGTTCCGTACCATCTTCAAATCTATGCGAAAGTATCGCTAACATGCTTCGCTGGATAGCATCGCACGCTAATACAAGTTGTATATTAGGATTAGATAAGGTTAATACATCACCTGATGTAATTTGGTTTTTTATCCAATCGAAACCTTTTTGACAAGCTTCAGTCCAGTTCCACGTTTTTTGTTTGCATAATCTATATAATGGCCATATGAAATCTGCCCTATCTTTTAAGAATCTTTCATTAAATTTCATTAAACCTAAAAAAGCTTGTAACTCTTTATGATTTTGAGGTACTGGGGCTTCTAGAATTGCTTTTATTTTGAGATAACTCGGACTAAGACCATTTTTATCAATTGTTTATCCTAGACTTTCAATAGAATCTTTGAAAAAATCACATTTCTTTAAATTCACGCGAAAACCTGTGTCTTGTAATCTTGCAAAAATTTCCGTTAAAATTTCGATGTATTCTTCATCCATTTGCCCTGTTAAGTAAATGTTATCTATGTGAATTTCCATGTGCGTAATACCTTTCAAAACATTCTCTAAAATATCCTGAAATTAAGCTGGACTTGACCATACCTTCACCTAGTTTTTTATACCGGTACAAACCTTCGTGCGTAATTATAGTTAATACTTCCTTAGATTCGTCATCTAACTCAAATTGCATAAAAGCGTGTTTAAGTTCAATTTGCAATCATTTATTTCCTACCCTTAGTGTATTAAATATTTTTTCTTTGAGATAGGATGACGCCTAATGATTCATTGTGGATTAACTGTTAATTTAAAATTTCCGCAAATTCTAACTTCACCATTTTTTTTAAAAACTGGAATAATCGGTGTTGCCCATTTGCTACATGAAACCGGTTCTAAATTACCTAAATCAATTAATCTTTGTATTTCGTTTGAAATTTGTGGCATTAAGGGCGAGTGATGTGGCTTCATTTGTATAGGTTTAACATTTTCTTTAAACTTTAAGTGTATCTTTCTACCCTTGTAACAATCTTGCGTATCAGAAAATAACATTGAAAACCGTAAAAGCATTTCTTGTCTTACTGTGTTACTGTCGATTTTCAAAACAATATTCGATTGTATGCTCGATTCGATTTTCATCGGCCACAGATCAAAAGCTTTTAGCCATTGCCTCCCTAATAATGTAGGACCTGTATCTTTAATTATATATAACTCTAAAGTTTTTTCATCGTCTTTTAATTTAGCTTTAACATCTACTTTGCCTATAAGATTAAACGGTACACCTCCGTAACATGTTAAAAGAAGACTGCTTTGTTTAAGTTCGACGTTTGGAAAATATTTTAATCTGTTAAAATCAGACATAGCTGATACATGCGTTCCGGTATCGAGGTCCATA